GGGTGTTTTCTTTTTCGTTGCAAAGATCAGCAGAGTTCAGCATATCGCCGCCGCTGTGCTAAATAAACATGGCTACAAATAACTTCGGATGATGCATGCAGAAATCAGTCGTTTTAATCAAGTTCATCGAAACGATCTGGAACTCTTTCAGGATTTTCAAAGTATACGTTATCACCGGTATGGTCCAGATATTGACCACTTTGATCTTATGGATGAAAGCTATGGTTTCAGAATCAAGAGGTACTTGTAAGAAGATTTTTTCAAATTTGCGTTATTTATTCATCGTTCAGGGGAGGAGTGGAAAGGAGGACATGCGAATGTCATCAAAACGTCCAAAACGTTCCTCCGTGAGGGACTCAGTTGCATCCTCGTTGTTCGTTCTTTCCCTCTTTGTGGCAGCTATGTGTGATGCAGCACCATACAGTTGTTACTAAAGAGCCTCCACCATTGACGCTGTCGGACGACTCTGTAGCAGAATCTGTTCTTCAAAATTGATGTCAAAGACTTGTGACAGTCTCTGTTGATCTGATGACCAATTTCGCCTTAAAATTGTCCAACATGAGTGACCCTACCTGAAGTCAAGGTTTCGGCTGAACAGCTGCGAGGTTCATTGAAATGGACAAGCCCCCGCCAGGATGCGGCTACAATCACGACCGCATAACTTTCGTGACGGTCTTGTTGTTAATAATTGTGCAGTTTTCGGGTAAATAATTTTGGCAGTCACTTCCACTTCATCGCACAGACTATTCGCAACGAGTTTCTTTACATGCGGGTTCACCCCCTTGCACTTAAATGCCCATGGAGCCATTTTAGCTGGCCACGCTGCCATTAATGTGATCACCTGTGCTAGGAATACCTTGATGTTTTAGGAGCCAGTTTGTTGTACCTCGTTCGTATAACTTCAAAAAGGGAGTAAGCTAGCCGCGATCGTTTTAATAAGTGCGTAATTGCCCGAAAATGGCGTCAGATCCGCTATTTTTATTTTTTTACGAATGTTTATATGGCGGCTCTTTAAATAACATAAAAAAGTGCTTCAAAGGGCATCAGCTTTCTCCGCGAGTCACCTCTTTCTGCATTACAGCTCCACTGGAGCAATAAGAAAGCATGACCAGGAAGAAATGCATATTATTTTGAAAGTTTGTTGGCGCACTGGCACACCATCAGGAAAGAACTATGCTGGCTCCTTACAGATAACTAACGATATAAAGCTATATACTATATAAGCTATTTAGGGATAAAGGAGAGTCCTGAACGCGTGAAGTTTTCCGTGCATGAAAATTTATCCTTGAGTCCAGAACGAATATCCCATCATTAACAATGAACGAGGTATTGCTGGAATCGGTAAAACGGTCTCAGCTCCATCTAAGCACTATAACTGTTATAATGCATGTTTTAATTGCTCCATGCGCATCACAGAGCAATGAGGCGACAGTTATCGTTTGCGATAATTTCTCACTCGTAAGTATCAGTGATGTTCTCCTCGGAGGTTCGTTTGTCAAAAGGTTAAGAGTTGAAATGAGACTCACAGAAGCGGTTCGTAACTATGCTTTGACTCGCAATATTTTACGGTGAAGTTACTATGCACATGTCTGTTGGATATTTGCCTTGATGACATCCTTTTTCTTGCCAAGGGTTCAGACACTATAATATCAAGCTTTTTTAGTAACGTGATCCCATGCTTGCTCATATGAACAACCACAACCTTTACGAAACCAAACCTTAGAATCCATTGGTGCAGCGCGAGTAACACTAGCACCATAAGTACAAGATCATATAGCAGATCGAGTAATGTGCACCAGAGAGTTACTATGATATCCGTGAAGTCCCGTCGTGATCCTCAAAACAATTGCTAACCAGATATTGAAAATCGCAGTTGACAACCATTTTCAGTTTTAAGGCAGTTCTGTAGCCTTTGCATAAAAACAGACCAATAGATTAACCTTATAACCTTGCATATTACTCCACAAGGGAAAAATAATGAAATTTTTCCTCATCTCGCCTATCTTTTGAAAAGATTGTGAAGATTTTTGGCCTTTTCAATGACACCAAAATTTACAAGTTAGATCTGACGGCATACCTCGTTGGAAAAGATGTAAATATTTATTTTGTCAATAATGAATGTATTTGAACGACATACTATATACCGGTGCAACAAAAAACCTTCCTTCTCTACAGCTGATGACTGCATTAAATCATTCGGCTAATTTGCGAACAGCGAAGCAGAGTATAGCGAACATCACTCAAATACTTCAGATTGAAAATTTTAATGGCATGAGTAAATTTGTCGATAACTTGTACAGTTCAGTTCGATTTTACGCCACGCGCTTCAATGTTTTATCTTTCGATTGGATGAGTGTAATGCAAGGTGAAGGCTGATGTTAAAGTAGTTGTCTATTACTAATCTGTTGCAAAATTTTCGGCGCACAACCTTCCTCTGGATAAAGTATGCAGAGAACGCTACAGTACCAAAAGGAAGCTCAAGTATGTAGGTAGATACAGTATTCTTCAGCCGATGTTGAGGAAGGCTATACAATCGCCATACAGCTTGTTCAGATGTACAGTGATTCTTTGTCCACCGACTGAACTTTTTCTATTTCGTGGTCAAAAGCTGAAGCCATTACCTCAGTGCAGCCATGTCAGTGTTCTAAACCGTGAGCCGCAAAATTAGAGTACTGCGGAGGATGACTGGTGATGGCGCGTCTATGATCATCACTTCGGACTTTCAAACTTCTGAAGGTCTTTCTTTAACATTATTGTCTATATATTTTTTGGATCATTGTTACAGAGTTGCCAGGATATGAGTTGCGAATACCGGCGGTATCGACCTGCAATGTACAGACGCCACATTCATTGTCGTAACCACGAATTCCTTTGAACAAGGAGTTCACCCTCACCTTTCTTCGGTACAGCCATCCAAAAAACAGACAACAGGATATTGGCTTGCGAATATCAAAGACAGCGTAGTATTCTAGTGCGAAGCGTAGCTGAAAGCCATGCTATTATATGCGGGCGATTGTTTGTGGCTGTCTTTGCCTTGAATAACTTATTAGTTGATTGTTCAATGTAATAATCAGCGTAAGGGGTAACCAGAAAAATTCTTATTCTGGAGGAAGGCCACTGTTTTGTGGCCGAAACGCTGACAACAGATTGATGAGGGTCATTTTGGCATCACCCTGTACTTTTCGCCCGTAGTCATCGAATCGGAAGATCAGGTATTTATTTAGCAGATAAACATAGTCGTGTGCCTTTATCGTTCGGCATAGAGATGACAACAACAAAACTTATGGCATGAAGACCGCAACACAAGTCTTCGATTTAAGGTATGAATTGGTTTAGGCAGCACTTAGTGATGGTATTT